TAAGTGGTATAAAGTTAGTGTAATAGGAACAAGTATAAGAATAGGCAATAGTTGGGGCAATAGCAACGGTAGTACTATAGTAATAGACTAATTTATGTTGGTAGCATTAATGGTAGTATTTAGGTTATTAGTAGTATAGCAGTGATTTGTCAACAAATATGTATAAAAATTGTAACATTTTAGGCTCTGCTGGGTGGACTGTGAAATGAACAACCAGCCGGCTACGGGCATAAAGTGTGACTGTATGATGTATAATTTTGGCCAAATCACCAACGTAACCGGATCAGAATATGGACAAATTCGAATAGAACTACTCACAAGTGGCAGTTTAGGATCGTTGACGTCCCATTGAGGCAATCCGGTGCCATGATGCAGCATCAGAGCAGCCGTCATGGCAACTGAGCTGGGGAGACAAGGTGTTGTCGGGGGGCTGCCTGAGGCGAGAAGAAGCCCGGTCGGGGGAGTGGTGAACTTGGGACACCATAACGATGCGGAATGACCGCTTGAGGCAGTGAGAGGTGTGGGTGTACCAATGGGTCGCATGACCTGACTGACTGGGTTGCCTGGAAAGGCGACTGATGAAGAGGATGTAGTGGACGGAGACGCTGAGTGGGCGGCATACTCGCCCGATTGCCCCAGCTGCAGCAGGTCTAACCGGGCATTTGGCGATTGCTGTTTACTCGGACTTCCAAAGCCTCGTGACAGTCCAGGCCAGCCTGTCAGCTGGTAGGACTGCTGCTGATGCTGCTGCTGATGCGGCTGATGGTGTTGATGCTGCTGATGTACTAGAGGCTGGGACTCGTGCGACTGGAAAGTTGGATGTTGATGGTGCGGATGGGGAGGTTGATGATGTTGTTGTTGATGGAGATGCGGGTGGTGGTGTTGCGGAGGCTGAGGTTGGGGGACCAGCTGGCTTTCGTCGAGGTATCCGGTTGGATAGACGGACGGCAGGAAGGTGTAGCCCGTTTGACTGGAGCTGTTGGTACCGGTGAGGCTGGCGTTGGTGCTAGTGTAGCCGCCGGGACAATAGGTCAGCCCGGCCGACTGGACCGGAAAGTTTGAGGCTGCATGAGACAATCCGAGACCGGGTCCTCTGATATAGTCGGCGACGAGGGTCGGCGAAACGAGATGAGCATGCGGACTGGTGACTGGTGAAGAGACTGGCAACAACGGCTTACCAGGCGCCGTCAACAGGGCAGCGCTGGGCGTCGGATACTGGTGGTGCTCGCAGATGAGCTCCATGACTTGACTGAAGGGTCGAGATGCTGGTTCGTCTGACTAGGCGTCAGATGGGCCGGAGACAGACACCAGTCCACCGGAGAGACGTCTGCCTTTCAAGACAATCCCGTCCCGTCCCGGTCCGATCTGATCTGATCCGATCCGATCCGATCTGATCTGATCTGATCTGATCTGATCTGATCCGATCCGATCTAAACCGATCTGATCCGATCCGATGTGTCAAAGAGCGACGTGCGGGTGTGCACGTGGACTCGGACCGAGTACGCGGGTACCGATTCGTGGGAGTGCGTCTTCGCGGGGCGCACAGCTCGACGGATCCGAGGCCTGAGGAGAATTCGAGTGATGCACACCTCCCGGGGACAAAAGATGCTGGGCCCCACAGCTTTACTCGCCGTTTATATACCATGCGGGTGAGGTCGAGGCCTCCCCTCCCCCTATCACCACCAACACTACCACCCCCATCATCAACATCACCACCACCTGCAACGCCATTTTGAGCAGGCCCAACTCGGCTCAACACGCCTGGACTCGACTGGTCCGCCTGATCAACCAGGACTTCAGAAGACAGCAGAGCTCGGACATGCGCAAGTGACGGACAGAACAAGAGATCACC